AACAAACCATCAGTTCAGGGGTTTGAGAAAATATGGGAATCAGGAAATTATCTTATATATATATATATATTTTTTTTTTTATATAAATATTCAATGTATAACATAGATTTATAATAACCCAATTTTATTTCAGTGTTAAATTCTGTTTAAAGTAACAGATTATAGTTAAAAATGCCTCTGATTATTTAATTGGTTACCACTGCTGTATAGGATATAAGAGAAAGAAGTTAAAAATCAATCCATCGATGCAGGCAGGAAGGACCCAACCGAAACGAAACTAGATTATCTGCCATCGAGATGCAAGAAGAAGCAACTAAAAGACAGTTCTCAGTAAATCTAAAGGAGGTGACGCCAACCAGCATGTGAAAGACTTGAGTCATCAACAACATTTGACCTTATAACCCTTAATTCCCTTTAATTGCCCCCCGTTGACCAAGAGAAAGCTCTGCAATAAGCTAATTTCCAACAAAGGTTAACTCTGCTCAGGTGTAGCAATCGCCTCTCTGACGGCAACAGAGAAGCACGGCCAGTAAAGCAGGAGGAGGAGAAAAGGGAAGCATGGCAGCAGCCCAGCTGGCAGCGTTTACTCAAACTTTACAGGAAGTCGGCGGGTTTATCCAAAAGTGTGTCAAACGGAAGCTTCCTGTTACACATTTAGAGACAATCAGAGAAGAGATCAGGGGCGTGGATCAAATTACAGGCAATCAAGCAGAGCCAGTTCGTCTGGATGATGCTTGTGTGACACCATGATGACTTGGCGCTGAAAAGTCCGTCTGTACGCAACAGTCCTGCTGTGACCTGTTGATACACTCCCACAGATCGCCCACACACCCGAACTCATCACTCCTATTGTTTTGGTTTCCGATAGAAAGATTTACATTTGATTAAACCTTCACTCCTTCCTGCATCTTTTATAGCTTCTTTTTTACTTGGAAGACCTTGGTCTTTCTCAACTGTTGCAACCAAGGTCATTGGAGCAACAACAGCTTCGGATTCATCAGCACCCCCTTGTGGAAGTCAGAGGATTTGCATAGATTCAAATTGTTGCAGATCTATGGAGAAATGGCTCTGCTCCTTTCTTAAGGGTTAAATTATTAATTCCGTCTAATGAAAACCAGCTGATTGCATCGACTCATTGACTCTTCAGCAATCCCTCACACTAAGCATGCTTGTAGTGACAGTGGAGAGAAAAAACTCCCTTTTAGCAGGAAGAAACCTCCAGCAAAAAAATCACTGTTGCATGTTAAGTATAGTTCTAATTTTAAAAGGAAATAGATGAAAAAGCATAAATCATGAGGAAAATAGAAATATTAGACACAGACTAAATCTAAATCT